CGGGCGCCCGGTAGCCTCTGGGTCTCAGCTTCATCTCCGTGAAGGGCACGGAGAACTCGAAGCCCTTCCAGTGGTACCAGCTCACTCCCTGGAAAGGAGGTGGAGTCAGAGCAGACCCCATCCGCTGCTCCCCCCTCCGCCCCCTGGTTCCCAGAAACTAATCCACCGCCTGCCCTCCCCGCTGCCTTCCCAACCCCAACGCAGAGGACGGAGGCTCCGCCCTGAGCCGGTCCTCCCCACCCAATAAACCACTTCCTCCCCAGAGCGTGGCGAGTGCGCTGTTCCATCACAGACGAGGCCGGGGGCTCAGTAACTCCCCGCCCTGCGGTCAGCCAGCCAGGGGCGCACCTGGTGGTCCACTGTGCTCCCGTAGAGCCCGTTGAGGTTGGCGTAGTGGCAGTTCCTGTACCACCAGGCCCCTCGGTAGGAGACAGCGCAGGAGATGAGCAAGTTGTTGGGGTCGCGGTCTCGGGCAGAGAAGACACTGCCACTGTGGTAGCTCATGGAGTCCCCTGCGGGGCGGGACGAGGGGGGGGCAAGGTGTGGAGTGAGGGCCTCCCCCACGCCGCCATGCGCCCAGGCCCAGCCCTCACCTGCCCGCCCCAGGCCCAGCCCTCACCTGCTGTGCCGTGGTAGCCCTCCAGGTGGAGGCGGTAGTAGTCAGCAGCCGAGTCTACCCGGAAGGAGTCGTACTGGGCGAACGCCATCTCACCCCCAGCCCGCAGGTCCACACGCATGGAGTAGTCCCCGTGGCTGGTCAGGCTGTGCAGGGCCTCGTTGCCTGGGGGCGGGACCCTGCTCTCACCGGGGCTCTGCTGTGCACAGGGGCCGCCCCTTCCCTGTCCCCCCAATCCCTGTGTGGCACTGACCCAGCCAGAACTCCCCGGAGATGTTCCCAAAACCGTGGGCATAGTCCTCCCAGTCCCTCCAGAAGTCCGTGCGTCCATCCATGCGGCGCTGGAACACCTGGGGAGCAGGTGGGCACCGTGAGCCTGTGCCCCTGGTGCAGCAGCCGCCCGAGCCGGCCCTGGCTTCCGCTGCACCCACCAGCCAGCCGCCCCCGTCAGTCTCCATGTCACAAAACACGTCCAGTGGCCGCGCGCGGTTTCCATTGAGGAAGATGGTGGTGGTTCTGGAGGTGCCCGCCCCGTTCTGCATCTCCTCCCCACAGTCCCGGGGAAAGGGGACCTGCAGTCCACCTGGGGGAGCACAGGGAGGGTCAGTCCTTCTTCCAAACCCTAGACCCCTGCTGCCCACGCAGCCCGATCCGGCCCCAGCCCCCAGGCACCAGTGGTGAAGGAGGTGGACATGGGCGGCGTGAGGGCCTCGCCCCACATGGCCCGGAGCCAGGCTCTGTAGGTGGTGGACATTCGAGCCCCTCTTCCTTTGTTTATTCAGCACCAGGAGCTGGTGAGAGGTGACACTTCCTGGGAGCAGGATCTCCTGTGGGACAGAGAAGGGGCAGGTCGGGGACACGGAGGCGGAGCCCCACTAGGGGAGGCAGAGGCAGAGGCAGCACCTGGAATGGAACCCAGGGAGGGGCGTGGCCAGTGGGCAGGGGTGGGGCACCTGGGTCTGTCCATCAGGGGTGTCGTAGGTGAGCAGGTAGCCAGTGGGCAGGACTTGGGGCTCAGTCCACGTAAGCAGGGCAGTGCGGGGGGTCACTTCTTTGGCCTCCAAGTCCCGGGGGCCCTCCAAGCCTGGCAGGGGAATGGGGAAGAGAAGATGGCGATGAGGCCCTTCCTTGCACCTGCCCTCCCCGTCCCACCCCTCCCAGGAGGTACCTGTGGTGAAGACAATGCTGGCTGGAGAGGTGAGGTTGGGGCCCCGAAGGCCGTGCACGGTGGCTGTGTAGTTGGTGTGGAGCTCCAGGCCCTGCAGGGGGTAGTCCACAGCG